AATTTAGTTGATTTGGGCATTGTTGCCCACGGACACTAACTTTACCAGGAACGTGATCCACTGTTTTTTTAAACATATTACTCAAATGATAACAGGCTATCTTTAAGAAGTCTTGAGTCTATCGGTATTAAATAAGATGTTGGAGTTGGCTTTTCTGTAGGATTTGTGGCTTTGCTCACGTAAGGCTTCCGTAGGCGTGTTTCACTGTCTTTTAGATGAGAGAATATTGATGTTTACAAGTCTTTCGAAGAACTTCATGTGTGTCATAGATAAATGAGATGGATTACGGTATCACAGATGCATGTCTTAACTCAAATCTAGAAGCTTACTGTTTATCCAAAACCTTTCTGTGCCATAACCAAGAACTAGCCAATCTGGCTTCTCAATTAATATGTGGGGCGGTACGAATCGGGAGTATGGTACAATCCTATGTGCATGATTAAAAGTGAAGCCACCGTGACTAGTGGCCATAGTAGATTGGGAGATGAAATGTAAACTTGGTGGAAATTCTAGTTATGCCACTATTCAATCTTTCTTATATGGATGTAACATTATGTCATTGCTGAAACGCATTGAGTAGTTTTATCTAAGCACAGTTTTCAGGTTATCTTAAGCAATGGTTTTTAGAATAGTTTGGACACTTTTATTGAGTAATGATGCGATCTCGTATTTGTTCCCCTCGTGCGATTCTATAGTGAATCATCATTCTGCTAATGCAAACATAGACGTTCCCACCAAAAGAAAACATCCTAAATGTATCGAGTTACCATCTCAGAAATTGAAATCTCGTAAATTATTTTTCAAGCTGTTCAAAGGTAAATCATCTTTATAACTGCCTTTCCATTTTTTTATAACTGCGATTTGTCATAGTGTGAGGCATCTATTTAAAAAAGTTGTTTGGAGAAGTGAATACCTCAAGAAAGGATGGGTGAGTGACTCATTATAACTTGATGATATTATTTTGCATCGCATGTCGTCTCCTTGTATTCCCCATCCTTCATAGATTTCTCTTTCAGCAACTGCAGTATGACAGTTTGGCGGTGATAGAACAGTTGTTTTCTCTGTATTCTTACTGCATCACTATGTTTTGCGAACCGCTTTAGTTAATTAATCTTTACCGCTCAAAATCTGACTTTTTTGAAGTCATTTGGATTGATTGTCTTTATTGAATCTAGAACTTTCCACTTCTTACTAGAAAACTGATTTAATGGAATTCCGAGCCCAAT